GTTTATGTTTGTATTATGCAGTTGCCACGTTAACAATGCACCAACTGGCGGCGTGTTCGGGCTTCATAACTATACGTACAACTGCCGAGCAAGTGCACATAGCCATTGTTTTACGCTTAAGACTTCATCGAGGTGCATAATCGTTCCCCGTTGATAATATTAGTGCGCCGGATAATGACTGTGTCTGGAATGCTCATGTATGCATTAATGGCTGTATGCAGAATGGGTGGTTAATATTTGTTGATCCAACTAATTGTTGTACTAACAACAGAAAAAGAGTTAATTAATATATATATATTAGGGTGTTTCAAAAAAATCGACTTTTTCTTTTTCTTCAAATGGTCAGCAAATTATTTCAGAGGATGTCAAAACAAACACCTCGTTAAAATTTGAGCTTTTAATTTGAAGATTTAGAGGTCGCGGATCGCAATTTTCTATTTCCCATTTAAATAACATAGGAAATTTTTTTTTTTAACTTTGGAATTTTTACTTCTATATCGAATCAACTTATGGCAAGGAACATCTTAGATTTTTATAGTAAATTTAACGCTCTATAAAAAATGTCTCCTAAAATTTTTCTATAAATTGATTTCTTCCAGAGTTATTCGAGGCCAAAGTTTGATTTCCATCGAATTTTCTCGTTTTTTTCAACTTTTAGCATCATGTAGTAAAAAAATCACATATTTGTATCTGAAACATAGGAAGTGTTGTAAAAAAAACAAAAAAACGTCACTTTTTTCCAAAGCCTACTACAAAGTTTTAATGAAAATATGAGATGTGTATAATATGCAGAGTAATTTATTTATAAATGCATTTTACTCGAAAATGGTGCATCTGAGCAATTCAAATCAAGAGTACCTATTTTTCCTAAAAAACTGTAAATTCTCATAATTTCATAAAAAAAATTAAATTATTAACCCAGAAAAAAGTTGGGGCTATTTTTGTAACTTTGCCCCCTCCAAATGTTACGCCTATGATTAAATTTTAACAGTTTTGATCATAGATCTAGATTCAGCATGTCAAAATTACCAAAGTACCAAAAATTCATTTGTTCATGTTCAACCCTCTAGGAATAGTTTTAAAAAAATTATCCTCTTAGGCTCCTATTCAGGGGGCCGTAGCTCCTTTAGGGAGCATTTTTTGATACATGTTTATTAAACAAAAAAAGTGTTATTTTTATACGAATAATGCACTGTTTAAGTTTGGCCCCCTGATTTCGGGACACCCGTATAATGATAATTGTACCATAAATGTTAAAAAAACGCGAAAATTCGATGGAAATCAAACTTTGGCCTCGAATAACTCTGGAAGGAATCAATTTATAGAAAAATGATAGGAGACCTTTTTTGTAGAGCGTTAAATTTACTATGAAAATCTAAGATGATCCTTGACATAAGTTGATTTGATTCAGACGTATAAAATTTCAAAGTTAAAAAAAAAAATTCCCATGTTATTTAAATGGGAAATAGAAAATTGCGATCCGCGACCTCTAAATCTTCAAATTAAAAGCTCAAATTTTGACGAGGTCTTTATGTTGACATCCTTTGAAAGAATTTGCCGACCATTTGAAGAAAAACAAAAAGTCGATTTTTTTGAAACACCCTAATATATATATATATTATAACATTAATGTTATGTACACAGTAAAAAAACATTTGTTAATTTTTTTAAAACCAAATATTAACCAGATTTTATGTTAATCCACGTCCACATAACTTTATGTTAAGTTTACAACCAACTGAAATCTGTTAACTTATTGAGTACTTATTTTCTTATAATTACAAACTACTTAGTTTGTAATTATAACAGAAATTTTGTAGATTTAACAACAAAATGCTATGTCAATAATTCAACCATACTTCTTGTAATTTTCAAAAAGGACCTTAATTTTACAAACCTTTTTTTATACAATGTAGGGCCGTTCCTGGCGAGCGTGCAGTGCGTGCACGCACGCAGGCGCAACATTTTGGGGGCGCAAAATCAAACAATCAATCAGTACTTTGTAATGATAAACTTTCTTGCAAATAAACAAATACTTAGGATAAAGGTTACCACCTTTATTTGCGTCGGCCGCATTAAAGCCCTATGCCGTTCTTTTTTCCGCCGCTTTTTTTATATGAGTATCAAAATAAAAGGAGAGAAGTTGTCATAATATTTTTTTCTACAACCGAGCGAAAAGTACAAATTTGCGCTTCCAAAAGAAAGCGCTCTCCGAGCTCTACTTTCATAATTTTTGACGGTATTTTCAGGGGATTCAGGGGACAATTTTATGAAATGTATACGTAATAATAAGCTGTTAAATGTCCGGAATACAAATTGCTGTGGACTACTGTTATAAGTGACTGCTTTTTCACTTTGAAAGCTAGTCATTTTTGACTAATACATTTTTAAAGAGTTCGTCACTAAAAACCAGTCGTAGGTATTATAATATATATATATATATTGTTTTTATAAAAAAAAAATAATAGGTGATTTATTATATAATATTTTGGCATCAAAATTGTCAAACATATTCTTATTTTATTAGAATATACATTAAATTAAAAAAAAAGCAAGATATATTTTGTAGGGTGTGGACGGGACGGGACGGGACGGGACGGGACGGGACGGGACGGGACGGGACGGGACGGGACGGGACGGGACAAGATAAATCTTTTTTTTGCCCCGTCCACACCTTTCAATTATTACATTTATCTCTACTTTAATAAAATATTTGTTTCGTTTTTTTTATTAAATGTATAGCCTAATAAAAGAAGAATATTTTTGACAATTTTGATGCCAAAATATTATAAAATAAATTATATACAATTTTTTTTTATAAAAACAGTTTTGCGCGCCTGAAAAGGTTTTTTTTACTAAATATTTTTTGTGATTTTGTTTGTTTGGTAATTTAATAAGCAGTTTTTTTACATTTTCAATTACCAGTTTATCGCAATATATATATATATATTTTTAAATTTTAGGGCTTTAAATTACAATATTTAATGTATAATATTTAAATATAAAAGGGGCGCACCAAAGAATGCTGCACGTAGGCGCCAGACACCCCAGGAACGGGCCTAGACAGTAACAACAGTATTTGTTGGAAATTAGGAATTTAAATGAAAAGAATTTGTATAAAAAATGTTGCTTTATTTATTAATTTCCTAAACAAAATTAACACATACCTACATACATGAACAAAAAAATAACATACACATAAAACACACCATTCGGAAATCATCAAATTATAAAAAAATTGTACAATATAATTATTAGAATAAGTAAATGTATATAATTTATAAGGTATATAATATCAAATTTTGAGTAATTTTTATTTCCATATAATATTAAAAAAGTTAACAAATCGTTAAAAAAAGAATAAGTAAATGTTTACAAAACTTTTTTTTTTAAAAAGTTTGCGCAAAATACTCAATTCATAAAATTCATTAATATAAATTTGTATAATACAGGATTTCCAAAAAGATTGTGAGTACTTCCAGTTTTCTGTGTATCGCGGCAACCAGTGGCAAGGTATTTTTGCCGCCCCCTTTTTTGTTCATCAGGAATAGGGTATTTAGAGGTACCTATTTATAGACAAATAAAACTAAGTTTGATAAAAGTGACAGTAGATCACCGGTTCGATATCCGCTTTACAAGAGACAGACCCGAGTTCAAAGCCTGGCCAGTAGAATTTTACTAATTATTAGTGACTGCATTTTCGCTGTGACAATTAATCATATATGCAGTGGCGGACTAAACCCGTCGGGGGCCCGGGGCGGTAAAATAAAATGGGGCCCCTAGTCTGCTTATGAAATAATGTGATTGTTTTGTAAATATTAATGTTTTGTTATTTTAAATTTGTTAGTAGATCCTCTTAGCAAGTCCTTTGCAAGACTCTTAATCAGGGATATGAAAATTAATTACAAGCTTTGTTAATAATTTAAATTTTAAAAATCAAGGGAGGCAGTCTAAGATTAACAATTATTTAATTTAATTATAACCTTTTTTCTAATACCTGATGGATTGCAGCTAGGAGCTCCCGAGACCATAATATAAAAAAATATTAAATATTAAAAAAATGTATTTTTTGGGAAAAATTGAATTTTTTTTTAAAAATATATACATTTGAAAAAAGTGGCAATCAACAACGTAACATTAATTTAATTAAAAAAATAAAACAAAACATTAAATTAAATTAAATTAATAAAATGATAAAATAATAAAATGATAAAATGATAAAATGATAAAATGATAAAATGATAAAATGATATTATGATTATATTCAGCGTCGGAAATTCACATTTTTCTGGATATCAGTGTACGGATAGTACCTACATATCTGTAAAAATTTGTAATTTTTTAGAAAAATTGACTTTTGCATTTTTTCGTATTACTCTTTAAATAAAATGCAAGTCAATTTTTCTTAAATTTTTTTCGCCGGCTAAATTTTTCCGGAAATTTTAAAAACCTAAGTTTTAGATAGTTCTTTGTTGGACTGAGAAAGACTACTTAAGATTTGGGGGCCCTTTTGGACCGGGGCCCCGGGGCGGACCTATACCATGGTACCTATCCCCAACATTTAACAGCCAATTCTTATGTAAAATTGTCTCCTGAATCTGAAAATATCGTAAAAAATTATGAAAGTAGAGCAGTTTTTAAAATATAGTCAATTCCATATTATATGTCAAATTGACTATATCTCAAAAACTCTTCTACTTTTCTAACTTTTGACGACATTTTCGGATTAAGGGGACAATTTTACACTAGTCATTTTTGATTAATTCATTATTAAAGAGTACAACTTTTAATTTTAAGTTAAACATTTTTAAACTATAGGGCTTTAATTTTGAAAAAGTTGTTCAATCAAAAAAAAACGTTTTTTCCACGTTTAGACAACGTTTTTCACATTTTAACATTAACCATTTGCATGTAAAATTTCTACTAGGGTACACTTTTAAAATCACTTTCTAGTAAAACCCTACTGTTGCTAAAATTAAATCTGAATTATTTTCTTTCAGGACGTGTTCCAGCTTCACACCCCAGGTGGCGGAGGTTACGGGTCCCTAGACGGCATAGAGATGGGGCAAGACGCTTTGACCCTAGAGAAAGTCGGCAACCGCGCTCCCAGTGGGACTTTTATTGAACGTGGAAGCGTTTTTGAGTATCGTCAGGCCCAAGAAGGAGTCTAAGTTTATTACTTGATGAATAAGTAAAATATAAGCATGTAAGAATAAATAGTGTTATACCTATTTGTTATAATATGTTATTAATTGATGAATACGTAAAATATAGGCATGTAAGAATAAATAGTGTTGATGATGTATTTGGGGCTACTGGGTTTAAATCCAAAAGCACCAAATACACCTTTAGGTTTTATAATATATAACGTTTTGTAATTTTTACTGTATTAATTTCAAAAATGTATTAAATAAATAAAATTTTAACCAACTTGTACCAGTAATTTTATATTAAATTTCCACGAGTTGCATTAATATATTTGCATAATATCTGCGAAACATTGGGTATATAAAAATAACATAATACAATTGGAGGATTGCATTTATAAAAAAAGTCCTATTCAGTCTAGGCACTTTAGTTTAAGTTTACGTTAAAAATAACATTTATTTCAGGGTATTTGTATGTTAAAATAAAAAAAATCATTACTTTTGTTTTCAGTGGGACATATTTACACATTACGCTATGAATATTTTTTAAAGTGTGGCATAATAAAATCCCTATTTTATTACTGTTACACTAGATGGTGGTAAGGTAGATAGTGAATTTAATTCGAAAAATCGCAATGATTTCGTATCTTGTGCGCATCATCTAGAGTGAACGTCCTCAATAATCTCTCGCATCTTGTGCGCATCTCTGATGTACTAAATTTGAATTTTATATTTAAAAATATTACCTAGGTACTTAAAAAAGAATATATGTTTATGAGATATTTGGTTTTGGTACCTTATAATCCTTTTCCCAATATACTAAACACGGTGCTGTTCTGAGAGGTGATTTTTGGACTTTCTGTGAAACCTAATTTTTTTTTATATTTTTGTTAATTAGGTCATAACCAAAATTTTAAGAGCAAAATAAAAAAAATTTGACGGTTTATTTTGTTTTAATTGGATGTTTATTAAAAATATGTATGCACACTTTCAATTTTCCAATTAAAACTTGCGATTTTATTTAAATATTATAATAACTTTTTAAATTAGATTAAAGATTAGTTAATTTCCTAAAAAAAGGTCTATACATTTTTTATATCTTTTACTGTTTTGTTGTAATACACGTTTAAAGTTTTAATTTAAGGTTGAATGTATAGTATACATTTATTAAACAATAATTCTAAGGGTGCCGCATTTTATTTAGGGTCGATTTATTCATTTTTGATTTATTTGACGAATAATTTCTTTGGATACTAGATATTGCCAAGACATGAAAGTTATCGGCCCGATAAACTTTACTAAAGATGAATAAACCGGTCCTTAGTTAAATTTCATAAATTTCTTCGTAACTTTTACTACAATTTTTCATTTTTGTTTATAAAAAACACTTTAAAAACTAAACAAAAATTATAGAATACGTATACTGAAAATGACGTCAAATAAATTTTTAATAGATCTAAGTTTCATGGCAACCTTTGAGGATATATTAATTAAGGGAACATAAATGTATACGTCAAAGGTTAGATTAAAAGTTTGAACGTTTATTGCAACAAAACAGTAAAATATATTAAAAAAAATTTAAAAACCTTTTTTTTAGTTATGCAAATATTAAATATTTAAATTAAATCGCTAGTTTTAATTGGATAATTGAAAGAGTGCATAATATTTTTAATAAACAGCCAATTAAAACAATTCAAACCGTCAAATTTTTTTTATTTTGCTCTTAAAATTTTAGTTATGACCTAATTAACAAGAATATAAAAAAAAATTAGGTTTCACAGAAAGTCCAAAAATCACCTCTCAGAACAGCACCGTGTAAAGCAAATAAACAATGAAATTTGCAAAATTATTTTCCTTATACAGGGTGTTATTTAAGTACGTGGTCAAACTTTAGGGGACGATTCTTTAAGACGAAAAGTTCATATAAACGTAAGTCCGGAAATGCTCCGTTTTCAACTTACAGGGTGTCAAAAAAAATCTCAATAATCCTTTAGCAATTTTTTTAAAATTAATAAAACATTTTTATAATTTTTTGCATTAATTTTTAACCAATTTTAACATCAAAATAGGAATATGGAAAAAAATAACAGATATACCCCAGTTTTTGATAGTTAGGTAGTTTTAATTTTTTATTATGTTGTGCCACGAACATGCAATAAAGTTATTTATATTTTTTTCTCAAAAACAAAGCAATATACGAAAAATATGCTAGAGATAAAAAATTTGTATTTTTAGTTGCTTAATGTGAAAAAAAAATAAAAATTTCAAAAAAGTCAGTGGCGCACATTTGTTTGTAAAAAATACTGATTCTGGTGTCTTCAGGGACGTCACTAGACTTAATAATTTTAATCTAGTTAGGGCTAAATTAGCCCCATACTATCCTTAATAACACTATTAAATTTTAATATGGGAAAAAACGATTTTGTGAGTTTTGACACCCTGTAAGTTGAAAACGGATCATTTCCGGACCTATATAGGTAAACATATGTTTATATGAACTTTTCGTTTTAGAATCACTCAAAGAATCGTTTCATTAAGTTTGGCCACGTACTTAAATAACACCCTGTATGTTACTTCCTCCCAAAAGAAAAAATTATCGACGCCCTTGCAAGTACATCATGGTTATATCCTATAATTGGTAACAAAATTCCGGTAAACTGGTTCAGTGGCAAATAAAAAACGATATTTAAGTACCTACCATATACCAAAAAATTTCTGATGTAACGGAAGTTTCGTGGGCCACCGTACAAAGAATTCTGAAACATAATAAATGAGACTCATATAAAATTCAACTTCTTCAAGAATTGCATGAAGATGATAATACCGCTGTTTTCAATTTTGTGAAATAGTGTCCGAAATAATTATAAATACTCCCAACTACCTGTATATAACTACAATAATAATAATAACCATTATTATTGTCAAATTTACTTTGTATTAATTACGATTATATGAAATTCATTCAAATTTGAAAATCTCTGCTTTCGTCGAGCTATGACGTCACACTAGGTATATATTTAACGCGCCATTACACGTGTTTTGTCAAGAAGTTTAGTTTTTCTTCACCTAAATATGCTTTAATTGTGTAATATGTTTATTTGTATTTATTAAATAGTGACGTCATGCACAAAATTATATTTTAAACACTAATAACTCCAAACATTGCCAAAAAACTACTAGTCGACAAAAATAATGTCCAAACTTTATTTTAAGATCATTTTCAGATGTGCGAACCCCAAATTGTTCTCAGAGATGAAGACATCAAGAGATCAAAAGATCTATCACTCCAAAAAATACTCTCTACATTTGAGAAGGTCCATTCCAAAACTCGCCATATCCACTTTTTAATAAAAATGAGTTAGTGGTGTTTGTACATTTAACATGTATCCCCCTATGCCCTGAAAAGTTCATAATATTGTAAAACTCCATTTAAAATTTATTTACAAATTGACTAACGTTCCAAAACTTGCCTTATCTATTGGTTATTTTATGCAGAACTCGGCATATACGTATGTAATTTTAAATTATTTTAAATTGGAGCTATACATTTTTAATCAAGGTATATAAATGTTTTACTTATGCCTATATATTTTGTTTAAAGTATTGTTTGGCCTGATATGCGTTAGTACTCATTTGTAAGGTTTTTGACGTTTTGCTTAAAAACAACTAATATGGATAAGCCGAGTTTTGGAATGCACCTCCTCATTTGTTGGGTAGTTAAATTAAAAGTAATATATCAATACAAGGTGTTTAAATTTGATTGTAATATATTATTTTATAACAAATTAGAAGCACCATTTAACAAATTGTTTACACTACTTTTAATTACCGACAGAGTACGTGTTTACATGTGTAACGACATATTGCATACATGTATTTTATTTGAAAATCGGCTTCAAATCAACTAAAAGCAAAATAAAATTACACAGTCTAAAAAAGTTACTTTAATAATGTGTAAATAACTATTTCCTGCTTCTCAATATCCGAATTTGTCAATTTTTTTTATTTGAGTTATACTTAAACCTCAACGGTGCGTAAAATTAAATTTTGTTTATTTTATAACTTTATATCGTGGAACTGCATACCGGATTTGTTGCCGTGTACGAATTTGTTGGTTCACTAAATTTGCCATTCAAATTCCGGTTAATTATTCATATGCCATATTCAGGCTTCCTGGAACAAAATAAGTCTAGTTTTTTTTACTGGATTTCGACGGAATTATGTACGTGGGATTAGGCTTCGATTAAACTGCGAATAAAAACAATTTATACAGTATTACCAAAAAGTTAATTATTAATGATAAAAAATTATCGGATTTTTTTAATTAAAAATTTTATACGAGTACAATTCATTTCCACAGTAAAAATAAATAACAGCATTTCAGAAACTTCAATCTATCAATTTTTTATTTTATAATTTAAATATCGTATATCTTCTTACTTTTAAACACTGCAGGTAAATTTTCAACTCTTGAAATATCAGGTTTAGCTGTATCAGGTCTAAAAAAGTTTTTCCTATCGGAAATCCTATCCGGGGTGTGATGGGCACGGGGTGGGGGTACCCCATACTCATGCAAACGGCAGTAACCCAAAGAGATTTTAAGAATCTCGCGAATTCAAACATAACCTCAACAACTTCGTAATGTTGTCAAGTGTGGCCAAAAACGGTGTGATCATCTAGTCTAGTCGGAAAGGTACCTACGTTGTGTTATTTGAATTCGCTTCTAGATAGGAAGGATGCCAGAGAGAGGAAATTAGATTAAGTAATAAAAACACACAAATAATGGTTGTCAGCTTTATATTCATTGTATTTGAATATTAGTTTTAACAATAGGTTTTATCAAACGTTTTGAGATTATTAGTTTCAGTTAGCTTTTTGTCACTTTAGAGGATTTAGATTTACTAGTTTAATACGGTAGATTTATAGAAATATATATATTTTCAAGTTTATAGCTTAAAGGGTTCTATTTCCAAGGTTTAATAAATGCAGATTCTTAAGTATTTCCAATCCAAATGTAATATCAACTAAATTTATAATAATGATCATCAGTAACAATATATCAGCTCATTTTGTATAAACAGTCGAAACAGAGATATAATTCAATTTTATACAGCAAAACCTTCATTCTTATTAATCCTATTACATGGCACAATAAATAGAGAAACAGTAATAATATACAATATAGTAATCATAGAAAATATAGTAAGAATAATAATAATAATAGAGCAGATAATAATATCAACGTAATAATCAAAATAAGGCATATAGTAATAATAATATGTA